GGTATGCTATCAAGTTTTAGTTTTTCAGACTTGAAAAATTCAGTTGATTAAATTATTAAATATAAAAATACAAAATATAATTAAATATAATAGAAGTGACACTTTAAAAGCGAAAATGTATTTTAGATTATCAATTTTGTATTTCATGTAACGATAGTCTACACATATAATAATACTTCTGTCGTGACTATAATATAATTAAAGAAACCAATATTCCAATCGTTAACATTCCGGTAAATGTTATTTAAATAAAAAAAATAAATTAAATAAATAAAATAGCGTAATAAATTATTAATCATTATTAATAAGCCTAATAAACCTTCTTTTATTAATAATAACTTTAATCATTATTAATAACAGCTTTAATCGAATTAATCAATTGTAGAAAACAGAATTCTTTCTAAGTATATAAAAATTTGCAAATAAATAAATGTTTTTTCCGCGATTAGTGAAAACATAATAATCAACTGTTTAGAAATTCTCGGATTCTCTTATTTCAACAAAACTTCATATAAAACAATTTTATTTACCATATGTGATATTATCTTTTTTTTTACGTAAAATTACCTTTTGATTGCACCAAAGAAAATAATCTGTATAAAATATTTTTACCTAAAATTTTAATACATATTATACAATTATTATAAATATTTAGTATTAAAGTAGATAATTTATTTATAATTAATCCCGTTTAGTATAAGATTAATCAGTGTAAGTACAATGTCATTATTAACAAGTATTTATATTTCACTCACTTTGTTAGAACTTTCGTAATATTGAAAAATCCGGTTTTGATTTAGATATGGAGATAGTGAGCCTGATGAAGGACGGTATGATCGACGATTGGGACATGTTTGAACGACTGACCGAGTATACATATAAGCAACGACTGCATGCCTTATCCGAGCATCATCCAATCCTGATGACCGAGTGTCCGTGGAACACCAGACTGAAACGCGAGAAGTTATTAGAGCTCATGTTCGAGAAGTTCAACGTGCCGGCTATGTATATCTGCAAGAACGCCGTTTTGGCTGCTTACGCGAACGGTAGATCTACGGCGATGGTCGTGGACAGCGGTGCTACGCACACTAGCGCAGTGCCGGTCCACGATGGTTACGTTATCACTCAAGGAATTGTCAAGAGTCCTTTGGGTGGCGATTTCATCACTATGCAATGTAGACAGTTCTTCGAGGAGAAAGACATCGAACTGGTACCAGCTTGTCTTGTCGCCAGCAAAGGTAAATAATGTTTCATTAATAATAGTGTTAATAAATATATATGTGAAAGAAATTTACATATAATGACATATAACTACAGATTATTATAGTTATTTCTTACAGGACAAAATATTAGCGGATTTTTAATCGAAGTTAAAAGATATAATTTAGATTTCAATAAATTATTATATGTATAAAGAATTCTACTAATTTCGAAGATTTCTAATTCTTACTAATTCATGTTTTTTTTTTAGATGTAGTACGAGAGAGAGATCCTCCTCGCTGGACGAAACGACCCGGACCGCAACCATCGTCGTCTTGGCTGAGTTACATGGTGCGAGAGTTGCTACAGGACTTTCAGATGAATTGTTTGCAAGTATCGGATAGTCCCTATGACGAAGATATGGCAAATACTCTACCCATGAAGCATTATGAATTTCCGACTGGTTACAACGATGATTTCGGATCTATAAGGCTCATGATACCCGAAGCTCTCTTCGATCCTAGTAATGTTAAGGGTGTAGGCGCGAGTATTTTAGGAGTTGGCCCTTTGGTCACCACAAGTGTCGGAATGTGCGATATGGATATCAGACCAGTACGTATCTTCACAATCAAATTTGTATTATGTATAAAAAATTTACTTTGATTAGATTGAATATTGATTAGAGTGACAACTTTCTTAAGGCATTTTAAATCAATTTTGCTCACAAAAAATAACTTTGTTGGACTATCAAAATAATTACGTGGAGATTTCAAACATAATGAGCAATATATCATAAAAACAAACGTGGTTATATTTAAAACGTATAAAAAGAAGAGCATAAGAAACCGCCGTACAAGTTATAGTTTGTGATATATTTAATTATCATTACATTAATTAAAACATTAGACGTTTCGGCCATAATCTGACCATCTTCAGTAAATTCATAATATTCTTAAAACGCAGAATTACATATAGTTGACATTAAATTCAACCGTCGTATATTGTAATTATATAAATTACATAAAAGGCCAAACAAGTGGTATCAATAAGCAAAGTGACACTGAAGATTTGTCTGATGTTTATTTGCCTCTTTTTAAGAAAGATCTCTCTCTCTCATTTAATAAATAATTCTAGAACTTTCTAAACTTTTGACTCATATATATAAATAGTGATAAAATATATGATATGACAAATAACACACAGTGTCACGACAAATTTCTGTGCAAAGGATGTACTTGAGATTTATCATTATATTTTTTTGCTGTAAAACAGGTAACGATTCTATTCTTACATATTCCGATTAGAAGATATTAATGATATACAAATTTATTAAATTAAAATCTGGAAATTCTCGTTTTACACTTTTCGTGATATGACAATTGGCGGTGTAACATTACGAAGCATCTTCACATATGAAAGAACACGTTTATATAATTACAACATAGGACGGTTGAATTTAATGTCAACTATATGTACTCTGCGTTTTAAGAATATTGTGAATTTACTGAAGATGACCAGATTGTGGCCGAAACGTCTAATTAAAACGTTTTAATTAATGTAATAATAATTAAATATCACAAACTATAACTTGTGCGATGCTTTCTTATGCTCTTCTTTTTATACATAATGAGCAATGTTGCAAAAACATTTACATTCTAACAACTAGTTTGAATATCTTATATACAAAATTATTTTGATTCAAACAAAACTATTTTCAAATCTAACTAAATTTTTAGATACTTCAGCAAAATCGTTATTTCTGAATATATACACTATTATTTGTAAAATAATGAGACACTTATGTTGCAGAGTCTGTATGGCAGCGTAGTGGTGACCGGCGCCAATTCTTGTCTTCAGGGCTTCAGTGAGAGACTGAATCGGGACCTGGCCAGTAAAACCCCACCGGTAACTTGTTTTGTAATTGATATTAAGTACTTATTAGTTTCAAATTTCTCGATTTATAATAATTTAATTTTCACAGAGTATGAGACTGAAAATAATCAGCGCAAACAGCTCAAGCGAGCGACGTTATGGTGCCTGGATCGGTGGCTCAATCCTCAGTTCTTTGGGCTCATTCCAGCAAATGTGGCTGTCGCGTCAAGAGTATGAGGAATCCGGCAAACTCATTTTGGAAAGATGCGCGTAATTAAGTGATGGAGAAATTTGAAAAATGATTCAGTAAATTAATTTTTACCCTCTTATTTTCGATTTTAAATTAATAATCGCTTCCCAAGTAACGCAAAAAAACCTTTGAAAAACGTAAATGAAAATTTTAAAAGAAAATTATCCAGACAATTAGGATATTCTTGCAATATTTTTCGTACTTTTGTGTTACTTGGGTAATTTATATATTGATATAATGGAAAGAGAGGGATTCATAAATTATTTTATCACAGATACTAATCAAATGTTTTACGCAAACATTAGAAGCAATTAACGTAACAATTCACATGGCGACGGTGTAACGTAAACCGTCCTCGTGAGCAACAACCATCAAACTCATTTCTGAAGCGCCTAAAGTATTATTAATAAAAACATAGAACGAGCTAAGGTTTTTCGCGATTTATGAGAGATAATTTTTTATAGGAAAGATTTATGTAGGACGTTTCCTCGTAATCTTGCACTATAATTAGCAGAAAGTGCGATTAATCAGAAACACCTTGTATAACGCATAAGTTGCGGATAAGCAATGTTTAATCTACAAACTCGCTTAAACGCCAGTGTTAGATAAACACATAACACATACGGCTTATAAGAATACAGTTCCTAATTGCTCTGTGCTAATCTTCCATATATCGTATCTTTGAAGAGAAGAATCACTTCCTATTAAAGCCATTCCAACAAACGTAAATGGATACAATATATAATAGATTTATCGCGCAATAGATTTTTATTATTTTATTAATTCTCTTTATTAGATATTTATTTGCTAAAAACATAAAATACTCGTTTTAAACGTTGAGATAATAGAGACATATCCATTATCGTAATTATTTTTATTTTAAGTTATTCTCAAGAAAAGTAACTTTATCATAAAGTAATAAAAATAGTAATAGCATCGTACATTTATTATTTACGTACTATTGATACAAAAATATCACACAAGAGTCACGCATTATTAATCTTAGAACTGCATACACATTTTTTGTTGCACACGTAGACTACATGCCGAGTCTCTCAAACACAGTTGGATATTTTTATATATATAGATACCTAATTCTGGGAAAGCATATATTTTTCGACAAATCTTTTTCCAGAAGATCAAAGTTCTAATCAACTTGCTAAATTAAAAAATAAATATTTAAACAAAAAGAAATTCTCAAAAATGTTAATGACGAAATCTTGTTGGATCTCGCAAATACATATTGTGTGTAGTTCTGGGTTTAAGAAGCTGACGCAAATATTTTCATAAAGAAGAAATATTGCTTGAATTAAAAACCGGTGGACTATTAAATGTGACAGATAGCACAATTTAAAAGAGCAGCAACTTAAAATTCTAGTAAATTAATTCTTATTTCTCAAATCGTTCAGAATATTTCAATTACTACTTTATATATTTTACTTATAACATAACATTATTCTATTTTTAATTTTGCAATTTAAAACTTATAAACAAAAAAATTTATATTTGTCGCTACTATAAACATTACATAAAGATTGGATTCTTATAGTATGTTAAGTTTGCTGCTTTCTTAGATTGTATCGTTGAAACAATCATATATAGAAACAGAAAAATATTGATTATCCTGGCGACTCCAAGTCATTTTATTAAAATCGACGTATATATCTATAATACTTAGAATCACAATCTTTTAATCAAAAAATGTAAGAATAATCTTAATAATAGATATATCAATATATCAAAGTAGAAATGTGGTAGTTCGAACCTAGTAATTTTTATATCTAATCACAGGAGTAAGAAGACGGTGTAATCCAAGTGCGTTATTATTTCTAATTAATCGACGAGGTCAATTCGTTACAGTAGCTATTAATACTGAGATATCCTTAAATCAAGGAGCGATTAGTTCTCGACGATGCGGAATCTTGAGGATGCACGAAAATACTTGCGTATTTCGTTTCATCGCAACAAGTCGGTAACCATATAAAGATCAATAACTAATAGTAATCTCAGAATATATCTCTACGATATCAGCACTAAATAAGACAACATAGTACAAGTCAAAATTTAGATATGTTATAGAAGAAATATAGATTTACAATATAATTTTCAAAATTTATCGCATATCGTGAAAAAATAGACCTATAATACAGGGATCTAGATACAGTTATTCCGAAAGAAAGAAAAAAATTAAATTCTTTCGTTCCGCAGCGAAAACACAGATGGTATTCATGTATTACGTATGTTACGTCGCCTATATATATTATATATATTTAATATGCGACACACAATGTACTGCAATATGCCCTGTTCCTAATCTTTTAAACGTTTGTACCGAATAAAGCTCGGATATTTGTAATTGTAATACATTGTAATTCAAACTGCTTAAAAAGCGCTTATAATGAATCTACAATGTTTCTGCGAGTGACACGGTCATGACTTTAAAAATATCATTTAGAAAATATAATAAATATCAATATTTATAAAATATAATTTATTAAAAATGGTAAAATGATAAACTATACAAAAATTCATTACCGTGTCGCCTGCATTCTGAAATTTGCTTTATTAATATTTCGTCAAAATTTCATAGATTCGATACTCCCACAAAGCTAAAAGTTTAATCAGACTGGAATATTAATAATTTTATGATTCGCGAATGCACAATTAAACAATTACATTTGACCTACATACAATCGTTAAATTACTAAAAGAAATGCCTCATATTCGTCGGCATATTGTGTTGAGGAACTTTTAAAAGTAAGTTTCTGCGAAAACTTTGTTATCACTCAGTAACAGGCGAACCATCACGATATCTTTAACTACCTAATCGCGTCGGTTGCGGTAATTTACAAATGGCATTGTGAACAGGCATGGAAAGCCAACCGGCCAACGCAATTCCGATAGAATCTGCCATCGTCGCAATTCCCAAAGAAGCTTCGCGATCCACCTTCGGAATCTATAAGAGATTTCACGCCAAATTAATTTTAAGTCCTAGAAAATATCATTAGATAACATTTTGTATAAAATTGCAGAGGACTCAACGCAGAATATAAATTAACGGTAATATTATATCAATATTCTAATTTCACTCAACGATATAAATGTATTTGTGTATGTAATACAACACATGTTGTTTATAACAGTTACATTGCTGAAATTGTAACATTAATATAAGTTATTGTTAGTTTGTGTTCTGCAGATTTCGTTTGACTTGCACAGTTAATTTTAACTTATTTCTTAAATAAAAATGTACATCATTACCTCGGTCGACATTCGATAAAATGTATTCACATACGCTCCACCGCCAAGTAGACCCTCCCACAATACAAGAGCAAAAATGATCCATATATTTGGTATGTAATAATAAAGGGTCTCGAAGAAAAAGAGTATAACGTTAAAGAACTAAAAGAAATATAATAAGTTTTAGATTGTATAATTTGTATTTTTTTGTTCGACTTCCTGATTCCAGAAGTTTTATTACCTGCAACACGGACATAATCCAAATTTTGTTAATGGTGACCAGGTTCACCGACGACCTCGAGATAAATACACCTATTTGGTAATCCACTTGGAGCCATCTGTATTGTTCGGAATGTGTCAACCAAATATCTTTGAATTCGATAAGCTCGTACTATAAACAAAGTTTCGCTTATTTAATTATAACTTCTGAAATTAATGAGCTAAATAATATATTCGCAATGATGAAGCTGATAAGTCATAAATGATGATAGCCTGACGATATAATTCCTGTATATATTTTCCTCTTAAAAATCAAATTGATTTGATTTAACAAGAGCATAAATAAACGTGACAAAATTATATAATGTTAACAGAAAAAAAGAGATTGTAGGTATATAATTAATAGATAAGCAGAGTAAAGATATGTACATAATATAGTAAAAAAAAATATGAAAATTGTAGCGGAATGTCATTACCAAGCCTTGATTGATGAAGTATTCAAACAGGTAAACGAGCCCAAGTGGTATCATGTACTTCAGTAAGCCAGGCACTAAATTAATCTTGTCTCTGAAAGTCTTTTCAGGGACCTTGATGATTTGTTCTTGACTATCGATGCCGTTCTTGGTGATTGGAATTCTGATGTGTGTCGGGTGTTTGAGGATAACCCAGAACGTGACCGCTTGCAAAAATGGCACGATCAACATGACTAGCAATGTATTCTCAATAGATAGTACCAAGGTGAGCCCAGCGTAAGATACAGCGCCGATTACCCCGGCACCGCCCGTGCCCGATGACCATGTCGAGATCACTTGTCTGTAAGAAAATTAATAGCAATTAATGATAAGAAAATTCCAAACGTCTGAGAAACTGATAAAATAAAGGCTGAAGAGATAGAAGTTAAAATTAATATAAGCTTATCTTACAATTTTCGCATTTCAAATCATCTGACGTTAGAGCTTAATAAATAGGTTGCTCATTATCTAATGAGTGTTTGTATTACGCGACTCTTCCGCTTTTATATTTATCTAAAATGAGTAAACAATACATCTTAAATGACAGACAAATAATTCCTAATGTAGGTTTTCTTACGTTTTGCAAGAGAGTGATCAGTGATTAGATTATGATTAGCCGTCGTAATTGCTACTCTGTAGTTATCCACGTGATTATGAACGTGATTACAAACCTATGTACAAGCTGGTAATCTTTACGCGTACAGTTTTATCTTATTTTTCTTGGTACGTTATAAATCGTGCGCGTATATTTCATATGCACACTTTTAGATCTGAATTCGCTGGCATTGTATTATATTATCACTATTTCTCTGATACTGTTTAAATATTTATACTACAATGGAAACATACTCGCCGTCGTGGCAATAGATGACAAACTCTGACTCTTAAATATATGCTGCCTCGTAAATTTGAGCCGAAAACTTTATGCCTTCGACATTCCACTTTATATTTTAATATACATTCAAAGTATAAATTCTATACTTCTTACGTCTTTTTTTATTCCTTCTACTGTTCCCAAAGAATTACTTTCTAAAGCATAGAAAATTATATCCCAAAAAGGAAATTGTCTATCTTCATTTTATACACACATCTGTTTTAAATATAAATTACACTTATTACAATAAAATTAATATAAAAATTCTATGCAACAAGAAGCTGTTAAATCGATGATTTATATGTTTCTGAGAACTATATTTATATTCGAGAACTATAAGAAGTTTCAGTTTCCGGTGTATGCAAACAAGCGAAAATGAATATAACGCATCTGTAATACGATAGTAACAAATAGACAGTAACAAATGGAATGTACACACTTACTTGGAGAACTGATTACTGTAACTGAGAAGAGTAACTTCACCCAAACCAGAGGAAAGCGACGTTAGAACGACGCCCATAATGGCGACCCATTCAATCATACTCAACGACACCATAAGGAATCCTGCAGCGGAAAATAACACACAGGTAGCCAGTCGAGCACTGTAATTAATGAGTCGATTGATCGATTAGCGATTGACGGTTGGGGCCGGTTGCTTTTACAACCGCGGAAAGGACTTACGCGATATCCGAGGCTCCGTTGTGCGCCGGATGAGCGAAGTGTTTAAAAAAGGGAAGGAAATATATTGAAAGAAAAAAGACAATAAAGAATAAAAACACTCGGATTGCACACTCGATTTTATATTCGATTAATTTTTCATGCAACTTGTGCACTTTGGACAAATCTTGAATTTTTTTCTAAAAAATGTATACGTCTTATAAAAGAAATTTATTAGATAATATTCCAAAAATAATAGATAATATTTTAGTTAGATAATATTTCAAAAAATTATTTTACATAAAAATTTAGATGTACTGATAATTTTTTTTACATTATATGTATACGAAAAAAAAAATAAAGGTATTTAGAAAGTGAATACTGCTAGTTTATTTTTATAGTCATCTATTCTATATCATTGAACTATAATATTATATGGAACATCCGAGAAATGAAATCTCTGCAGATGTCAAGATAAGACATTTTAATCTTATAGAAAAGTGTTCGAATATTAATACAATAAATTTCACAATATGAAGAAAATTATTAGAATCTGGAAGACAACAAAATGTTTTGCGAAAAAAATGAGTCATACGTTGCGTTCAGTTCTGTTATCACTTCAATTATTTCATGAAATTATGCATAATTTGATGAGAGGTAATTTGTTTTGTAGTGTTCACTGGCTTCATTCTGACAAGTAATCTCTGGATAACGCTAAGATACACAAGAGTGCACTTCATATGCGTTAAACGCAGCTAAAAGAAAAAAAGGAAGAGATAAAGATACTCACTGCACTAGAAATGGTAGAAACGGCGCCGTGATCTTGATTGCCAATGCTGGCAGAATGTCTGCTAAAAGTATGGCACCGGTTGAAACTGTGTTGCATGTACGAGTTGTGTTCGTATTGTTTGTGCTTGGTATGTCCTTCTAGAAAAACCATAAGAATATTTACAATTACAATATTCATTTAAAATAAAAATTAAAGAGAAAATATTTAAAACAATTAAAAAATTGTTTAAAGTATTTGAAAAAGGAGAGATTTTCCGAAAAATTTAATTTGAATACTATCTTTACACAAAGTTTTGGCAAGTTTTTATTAAAGATCTCGTCTTTCAATTTTTATTTTTTTTAATAAGTTCGCTTCAAAATATAAGAATAATTTTTGTTTTATGCAGTAAACAGAACGTCAAAAATAATAATGTTAATATTTTACGAATATAATATTTTGCACATGACGAATTAATTCTTGTTACACCTGTCTGGTTTACATAACATGTCGACCATAAATACGACGCAAAAAACACTGATTGCACAACATAATAGTGCTGCTTTATCGATGATATGTTTTTTTCACTCGGAAATCCGGCCGGATGACATGAATTATTAAAATACGACGATTTTTCTCGTTGAAGAAGAAGTTGAATCATTACATTATTAGAAACAGGTCATTATAGCGCGAATTTATCAATTTATATTGCTAAACTGCGTAAAACCGAATGATTAAATCAATTGGAATGTGCAATTTACATAATGCTGATTATAATGTTGGTTTACAAATCGTTAGAAAATTTTCCATAGAACTGGCACGAGTATTTAATTACATATCAGATTAGTATCGTATATCGGTACGAATTTAATCGATACATAAGTTGTTAAAATCATATCATTGACCACACAAAGTTGAATATTACCAATTGACATTTTGATCCATGTCAATTGCAAAAGACTGACTTAAGAAGAAAGATAATATCTATTATTATTTACTTATTAATTGTGCCAATTCAATTGCGGTTATTTTTGTGCAAATATTCGAGATTAATTTTTATATTAAAAATAACGAATGTGTAAACTAATATAACTTTTTTTTAATGTTAAATTAATTGTAAATTATTAATCATCTGAAGTGTTACAATGAATTGTTACAATTAATTAACAAAAAGATTTACTGTGTTTTATCAAATAAGTAAAATCGAGTAGCTTCTTAATAATAATAACTTTATGTTCTTTGTTTGCAATATTGCACTTTTAAATCTAGATTGATAAGTCTGTGTGGATTTATAAATAAGATATCTTACGCGAGCTTTACTAAGATATGTATTATCGGATACCGTTCTCATATTGTTTCTCATATTGTTCAACTAATTTCTAAACTGATGGATAAAAGATAATTTTCAAGAAAATATGGAGAGATAACTTTACATCCAATAAAAAATTATTAACTAGATAAAAATTAATTTCACAATTATCTCATAAAGCATCTTTTTTTTTTAGAATTTTTCAAGAAAATAAAAATAAAAAAGTAAAAATATTTCCAAAATTTAGAAAGAAAAAATATGCAAAATTAAAAGATTTCTGAGAATTGAAGTTATAAGTCATTGTTATGTTAATCTTTTGTAAATAAAGCAAAATAGTTCACACTACTTCATACCGAGATGAACTTGATTCCTATTGTCAGTCTATTGTTATTGTAACTATTGTTACCTAGAGCAGACAACAATATGAGATCATCCATGAAATAATAGATCTATTTTTTTTATCAAAGAACTCTTTGAATTGTCACATGCAATAAGAGTGAAGTGAAACGAACTATCTCTATTTCACTTCAACATATTGTATGCACCAATTCAGAAAATTTTTGCATCAAGAATAGGCCTAATATCATTTTTATCGCCTGAATTTCAAAGATTAATTTCAAATATTCCATTAACTCTTAAAAGTTTATTAAAGAATAAATGTTGCAAATTATAACTTTATGATAACCTTAATCTAATTATATTTATTGTATTTTGGTACACTTTCATATGTATAATTTTCTTAAATAATGTTAGAATTTTAATCCAAAAAATAATTATAATTCTAAATTAAGATAATTATTTCTTTTTATAAAAAATGCGCGAGAATCATGAAAAGGTATTCAATTATAATAGTATTTTAATATTAAAAGTATTATAAATAATTTGTTAGGTTATTGGTTCTAATTTAATAAGAATATAATTTTATGTGATATAATTTTTAAATTTGTTTTCTCCAAGTTCTATCAGATTTAAAAGGAAGCCTCCACCTTTTTTCGCGCGACAAATAATCAAGAATCATATGACTACTCACTTGCTCACCAAATTTGCTCTGTAGGATGTCGTGGGCCGCGCTGAGCATCACGACATAGCCGTAATTGTTGCACAGACCTAGAATCCAGAATGCTATGAGATTGCGCCATCGTACCTTCTTCAAGATAGCTTCCTCGTCGAAAAAACTCTTAGTATGCGAAGTTGTCAGAATATTTTTATTCATTTTGAAGACCAGTTTCGAGAAGGTACTTTTTTTGCTTCTATCGATCTGATCTTATTCCGTTTTCTTTCTTATATTTTTAAATTTTACCAATCGTCGTTTTTCTTCTTTACTTATCTCGATCTTCTTTTCTCTTTCTTCTTTCCTTGTTACTTTGATAACCGTCTCTGTTCTTTTCTTTATCTTTTTCTTGGAGTACATGCACTCCTGCTAAATCGGTTTGCTACTTGTAGAGTCGCTTTTCTTTTTCTTTGTTGCTCTATCGATCTATCTCTTTCTTACTAACTTTTCCTTTTCCACTTTTCGTTGCTTCGCTTATTCTATCGTTATCAATATCTCGTCTTCAGTTTCCCTTGACTGAGCGACTGACTTAGCAGCTGCTTCTCTTTTTAGACTAAATTTAGCGTTCAAACTTAAAAGAACTTTATGTTGATAATCACAGAATATAACATGAGAATAATTTGTATGTTCAACATAACGTTATTTGGCTCATATGTACAGTTAGTAATTAATATCGACTTGTTGTTTTATTACAGTGAATTATTCGCATAAAACAGAGCGTTAAGTTCAATGTAGTTTGTTTTTTACAAAGAAAAAGAGATTATTTCGCTCTAATTAAAAGTGCGGTGACTATTGTTTCTATCGATTCTGCAAATCTTGTATTGGCCTGCCTTTTACAATAATCGACTTAAATCGCAGTTTAGGAGGTTGTTGATGAAAAATCACATGAAATGGAACACAGTCCCTTTTTCGTAATTGAGAGAATCTTCTTGCGATGGAGAAAAATACATATTATCTCGATTGATTCTGCAACGAGTTCTCCAATGGCCTTCTGTGTAGTCGATGAATATGAAAATATTACTAATGAATCATTTACAGAACACGTGATATTAATAAGTTCAATGTCTTCCTTCGTAAATATAGAAAATATTCTATTCGAAAATAAATATTAGACTAGTACCACAATACTTCGATTTCATCAATATTTATCAAATATTCTCTTGATATTTAATCGAGAATTTATCGGATATTTAATCGTAGCAAAATGTAACTTTCTTACAAGTTACGTTTTCCTTTAAGACTTTACTATATAAATTTACAGCTTATGATGCGCTAGCTCGATACTTTGCTCGAAAATAACGCCAGTCTGTAATTTCTACCTTTAATTCCTTTCTCCCTCCACAGTATGAATATGCACACTCAGGCTTCGAGAAACTTCGATTTCTTCAATTTTCCTTCTCCAACTTTTCCTTTTATCGCTCGCGCGTTTAAATTCTGTCACAAATGAGCTTCTTTTAGAATGCTAGGATAATAGATTGTTGACACCGAATTTAAAATTGTGCTCCTCGCAATTTTCTCGATGGATAAATGGCGCTTATTTCTATTTTAGAATTGTGTGATCAGGTTAAAAAAATTTGAGAAACAAACAATGATTAAAGATCGTCTTACCGCTTATCTATATATCTCTAATGGGAATTTTCCTCTCGAATGTAGGTTTTTGCGTAGATCGAGCAAATCCTTCGAAATTCAGCGACTGTTAATGAAAAAGATAGGATGAGATAATTATAATTATGCTGATTGGACAATAGTAATTGCTAATGAATTAAAAAAAAACAATATATGCATGCTCAAGATAGAAATAGTGCATTAATATTTATGATTATTTTAAAGATAACATTATTAAAGATAACAATATTTTGCATTATATAAATATACCATTTTAGTACTTTATATTATTTTTAATCATATATATTTATATCTCTTACTCAGATTCTTGCATAAATTTGCATCACATTCAACGATCACCTCTATGTCTAACTTTCAAGTGCCTCCAGTTAAGTTACACTAAACTACATTTTCTACGTTACTATTCTAGGATAAGATTATCGCCCATTTTCGCACGGACAGACATGAGGAAACCCAAGACTATCTTATGTATTATTCGTGGAATTCGCGCTATTTAATTTCCCTAACATTCGAATGAATAATTTAATCTGGAAATTCATGTTCACATGTGTGCATTTTACGAAAATGAATCTCGAGGAATTTCAAATTATTTTGTACAGTTTTTTACAAGTTGATATTTGCAAAACTGTATTTTTTGCGAAACGATGCTTTCGTCATTTACAACCACAAAAAATGCAAAATCGTAAATTGAAGACACTAGCACATATACCGTAATAAAAATACGCAAGTAATATGACTTGTAAGATAACATTGATGTAAAACATTGTAAGATAACATTTTGAATATAGGAACACTTCAAAATTTTCCAACATGTCACTTTTCTAAAAATACTTCTGCAATAATTTTACCATTATTTTATAAATACGTATGACGTATAAGCAAACATACTTTTCCAATAAAACGCAAATTTAAACTTGAAACTAGAAGAAATATATCGTCTATCTATTCTTTCTTTTTTTTTTCTATTTGTCAATACTTCTGCATAAACTTTTCCACTATCTTCCATATTTATTGCAACACAAATTGTGTCGTAACAAATAGCGCAGATTGCAAAACATGTTATCTAAGAAAAGGAACAACACAAAAATGAGCAAAATAGATATTCCTAAATGATTTTTGTTTGTGTAACAAAGTACTTATTATGATTGTTGAAAACGGGATAAGAGATAATAAAACAAGTGCGTTTTGCTTTTGTTTGCTTTAAACGCGTCAATGATTTAAATCTCTAATTTTTAAATCTTTTCTTAGCACGAAATAAAAATAAACTAAATCATATGTTTGTTTTCTCAAGAGGTTATTGCATTCGTTTTTTTATACCGTTATTTATCAGTCATATTCTGGCCGTTAATTTCTTTTTAAATAATCTACTTCCGAATGACTTCTCACATCTCCGATCCACGCGCTTTATCATTATTCACATCCGCTACGGATAACGACTCACTGCACAGTTTGCATGCAATGACTTTTTGACACACGACTGACATGTACTTCGTACGCGATTACATGTTACAACTGACCCATCTTCAACAATATTCACCCGATTGCGCAATATAATCGCGATGTTATCATTTTGAGAAAGGAAGCCCACTAAAGCGAAACTCAAATGAAATCCTCAAGCCCGAACAAATCGGTTAAATAAATAAATAAATAAATTTAGTCTTTAGTACTAACACTTTGAACTGATTCTGATGATCGTTGAAATGCAATTCACTTTCCTATTGTATTATTTATTCAAGAGTCATACTATTATTTAAACGATTTTATTTACGCAATTCTTTCTCGGTGCATATTGACTTCCACTTCAGTTATTTAAAAACATCGCTTGCGATAAGACAAGCTATGTAATTTTATTTCTTCTAATCGAAAGACTATTGGTGTCAACAATAAATGTCAACAAAATCAAATAAAATATAATCTATATAATATTACTAATAATAAAATGGATATAAAATAATGATATAATAATTTTCATTGCCTTTATCAAAGTGTTAAATTAAATTATAACTGAAATAAAGACTTAAAGCGTTTTACTAATGAAATTGATCCTAAATGATCTACTTATCTTTATTGTAATAACTAGCATCTAGTATTACAAGCCTCGTATAGCATTATAAATCTAGTATTATAATACTATATGTATATGTAAAACAGAGATTTATTTAGTCGATTAGAAACGATTATCGAGTCCACGGTGATGACTTAAATAGATTGGAATATTATGGCTGTGTTCCATTTGACATTCACAGCGCTTGTGGAATCATTGCATCCTTGTCGTTTATCAAATGTTAAACAAGGACAAACAATGCTCGCGAGTGTTATGAGCGTTAAGCCTATTTGTTTATGATTGTGCTTTTATCATTTTGCTTCTAAACCGTTCTATTAAATTTAATAATAAACACGTGGCTGCAGAAGATATTTTTGTTCATATAAGTTATCAAAATAACTCAAGCATAAATACATTCGTCCATACTAATTAATTATTTTTTAAATATTTTCATATAATAATAATTATACAATTGTATTTTTTACACACTGAATATAAATCTTTATAAGACTTCAATGAAAATTAGAACATATCTGTAGAAAAAATATGAAGAAAGCGTGACGAATACTGTCTTTCGTTACTTCTTCGAAGTATAATCTAATCTATTGTTTTTATAATAAAATCACGAATGATACTTACGAGAATACTCACGCAAACTTTATTTGAAGAATCCAGTAAGAGATTGAAGAATCTGTTATACAATAATTTTTATCACAAATACAATCACAATATAAAACGAGCAAGTCATAAAGGTCTCTAAAACGGCAGCGTGCAACTCCAAAGAGATGATTATCGTCCAAAAAAATCACAAGTATCTTAAGAAATAATTTAATTATCGTTAAAGTTCGATCGATAGATACATAAAACCCGCAGTCGATATACCATGGCTCTCACGACGAGTTTCAGTTCCAGAATAAATGAATTCTTGACGAAATCGGTAGATATACCATCGACGTAAGCGCAACCACTCGGTAGGATTAGCAACGGCATTGCGTTCTTGAACGGTTCTGAGACATTCGTGACTCGAGCCGCCGTTTAGTCAACTCCTGACCATCGAGCTGGTCGGAACTTATCTATCAATAACAATAATACAAGCAGAAGAAAGAAAAAGAGAAAATAAGAGAAAAAATTTTTGTAGTAATTAATAAAAAATTCTTTTAAAAGATAATTATGCGTAATAAACACATACTAAAATTTAATTAGCAAAAAATAATACCATAATAAAATTAGACAGTAAAGATAAAAGAGAGAAAAGGCAAAAAGAATTTTATTGATTCTTGAAAAAATTTATTAACAAAAATAAAAAAATATAAAATTAAATCAAAATTGCAAAAAAAAGAAATAATTAAAGAAAAATGAAAATGTTTTCAATAAAACTGTAATAAGTGAAATAGAATCAAAGAACAAAAAAATAGTGTGTAAACTTATTTTTTTAAGAAAATGTAATGTTGGCTCAATCTAACAAACTATTGCAAATATTTATAACAATGTTACTTCAAATTTATGATTCAATCCGAATGATGCAGCTCGAATCATAAATTTAAGCTATATATTTGTGAAAAATGTGCACGTCTCTTTAAGAGAATTCTCGTTTCTTATATATTATACTACAAAGATATCATTTAATACATCTTGTATATTCGAAAAAGATAATAATTAATGTGTTGTCAGTCATCGACACTCATTGTTATCATGCTTCAAAGAAGCGACGTGATAAAACGATGATAAACATAAATGATTCAATAAAAACATATTTGCGGCAGCTAATAAATAACATTTTAATAAAAGATAAGAAATAAAATAGTATATTCTTTTTGCTTTTATTACGAAATTCGAAAGTTACACAATTGAGTATGAAAAACATTGTGGATCTACTTGTACAACGGAGTTAAGATTTTGACTAATAACTTTATAGCAATTCGCGGAATAATATTTTTACCTTTTTATATTAGTATGATCGGAGAGTATCAACGTGGCATTGTAATATATTATCGATTCAATGACATTTCCTAGAGAAAAAAAGAGGGCCATGGTTCACTGAGAACCTTCGGAGACACGTATAACATTGTATGCATAATGTTAAGATGAACTCAATTAATTAAAGTAAGCATATCTCTTCATTTTCTTATGTGCAAAGAGGAATCTCATTATTATTATTCACTAATCGAAAAGATTGAGAGACATTTTTTAATCGAGAAATTTAATTCAAGAGATTAGTTAAAAGATATTTTTAAGTAGTTATTTACAAAACTTTCTCGTATATATTTATACTTTTAATTTTTAATTCAAATAACAAACTTTAATTTAAACACACCTACATATCTACAAGCACTTCCGATGAGATTAATAAAATTGATAAATAATCAATGTGCGTGTAATAACAACATTCTTTAAAAGATTAATATACATGATCATATGATATTTTGACATCATTATACGATAATTCCTTCTTTTCTATATTGTGTAATGTGAGATCAGCTTCCAAAACGATGCAATATTTGTTAAGCAATAAATTCAAAAAACATGTTTTTGTCTTTATCTAACATATTAATTAATATCATAAATTTTTAATTAATTTGTTCTAATCATTCTTATACTTATGTCTAATTATTATATTTTAAATTTTAATATAAAAATTACATGTATTCTAAATCATTCAAGATATATAATACATCTTTAGAAATCAAAAAAGGAGATAATGAAATTTTGATCAAATAAATGTCGATTATATTTTAAAATCAAAATTAATAAATGAAATAAGCTCAAGTGATTAAATCTAACAAGATAAATAATGTCGAGCCAATACAGGATATTCGAATGTAAATTACATCATTTATTAAGCAAGTAAAGACACAGTATATGTTTCAACCCTCGGTTCGAATCCTCATCAGAACAATTAATAATGCAAAAATCAAAAACAAAATTCGGGAAAAATCGCGTTAAAGAGAGAATGCTCTAATACATAAGTTAATGATTAAAACTATTAGATATCCAATACTTGTCGCAACTTGGTCATCAAATTATTCGATTTGCTACATAAGAAATACAATCATTTTTTATTATGTCGAAAAATCACGATTTTATGAAAAATAATGCCATTTACATGAAATAAACAAGTCAAACAAGTTGTGGAAACTATGAGTAACCATATATGTTATTAAATTGTCTGATTCACTATTTAAAACAAGAATAATGTGAGAAAATTGGTCAATATTAACATTTAAAAAAAAACATTTTTTAATAAATTATTTAAACTTACGTAACAAAAAGAACGAGATTTCTCACGGAGATACTGATGATTCAAGCAATAGACACACAATGAGTTACAAGACAAATCGTACAGAGTACCAAAAAACAAAGCAACAAAGAGAAAGCATTACGTCCCTATAAATAAATAAGCCCTATAATTAAATAAATAAATAAATAACGAGGCTAACGATAACGTCATGTTGTAAATTTAAATCTCGTTTCTAATTCTTTATGTAAATCATCTCTGATGATAATTTATTATTTAACATTTCTTCTTCAACTAATATTTTAACATTGTCCCAATCAAAATCACGAGATAATTCAATTCTATACTCTGTAAGAACATAGAATTAATCAAAGACAGAGTCGTGTTCTTATTAATATAATTTTTGTGTTGAGAGATGCGTGTTTTTAAACATCTGTCCACAAATCTGTCTTTACAATCGATTTTATGAACCACGTTGAAATAAGACAACATTGGCAAAGTATCTTTTTGTATCTTAATAAAACTATTTAATTTATTAATACCTCTATATGCCATGCGTACTAAAAGAACATTATTAATGAACAAGAAGTAGAGAATATCAAGGGCGATTAAAAGTGCAGTGTTGCGATTGGTATGCAAAGTAAAGAAATGTGTTCCTTGTTATTTTTATTCCATTAATCCAAAATTGCATGAACATTTCGACTCACTTTGAAGTCTTCTTTAGCAAATTACAACAAATTACTTCAATAAATTATTAACCAAATTCCTAATTTTGTCAGATGTAGAGGGAATGAAAAACTATTGTTTTTTGTTCATACTTACAAAGTCTGTTCATTATGTGTGTTTCTGATATTCAGACACTATGTGATTGATCAAACTTTTTATATAGAGACTTCTTCATTGAAAAGATTAAACTCAAAGGATAACTATTGTTTAGTAAAATCTTAATGATATTATCAAAATTATTATAACGAAAACTACGATGTGATAATACTCTATCAATTTGATTGATTATTATGCCTATTTTTTAAGAAAGGGGATGTCAAAAAAAATAATTCAAAAATCAACTTGAAAATGTAAGTTTACGATATCAAAATAAAAAATGAGAGAAAATTCCCTTCTTAGTCAAGCAAATTCAAAAAATTCAATGTATTGCTCCCAAATTCCATAGTGAATTTTAATCTCGGATAGTAAGAGTTAAAAGTATCTAGAATTTCTCTCTCTCATCAATATTCAAGGTATCAAGAACCAAAACAATGTCATCCACATATCTTCCATAAAAGAGAGAGAGGAGTCACTGAAAATTTTTTTAGCGAACACGATTCTAAGTCTTACATAACTATATCAGATATTAAGGGAGATAATGATGAACCCAGGTACTCCAAAAGTCTGTTTATAAAATTTTTTATTAAACACAAAGAATGTAGAATTAAGAACTAATTTTAATGCTTCAAAAAATTTCATTTTTGGAATGTCAGTATTCTTCTCAATAAGACTCTACTACCTACTTGAGATACTTTCTAAAACTAAATCAATAATTGGTATATTATTAAATAGTGAGATTACATCCAAAAATAAAAGTACTGTATTGTCAGATATAATCAATTTAGAAATGTTTTTAGTCAGATAATAATTATTATAGCGCTAAACTTTTATGAATAATTTTATATAAAAACGAAGTTAAATTATGATAAGGCTACCAATCGACGAAGCAATGATACGTAACGAATAACCGTCTTATGCATTTTCGTTAGACCATATTATATTTTAACTTAATTTATATGGATGAAACTCGACGTATCTATAAACATCTATAAACATCTTTCGATGAGATTAATAAAATGGATAGATAATTAATGTGCGTGTAATAACGAATCAAGATAAGAATTTAATTAAAAGGCTTGTTTTTATGTTAATTCTGTTACCATTTACGCTAAATTAATGATTATGAATCAATAATAAAAATATCAATTAGACATTAACACATTTTAAACACAGCGTTTTAATGTAAAGATTTAAGATTGTTTATAATTAGAATAAAATAATTGAATGCAGAAAAAGTCAAACGTTACCGAAGATTAGAGATTGAAAAAGCAATATTAAATATTTATAACTTAGTTTTTTCGCATTTGATTATTTCCTTCCAATTATCGATACACTCTTCACATTAAAACGCTGTATTTAACGTGGTAATTTCTAATCTGACGTTTCTATTATTAATTCATAAGTTATTAATAGAATGGAAGAAACAAAAGAATCCACTGTTTCGAATAATATTAAATGCTCATAATGTTTGGTTTTTCCACGATTAAAGTCATTATGTTACAAGATAGGCATGACACATATTTACGTCTTTAATTATAAATATATCAAATACAGAGATGAGCGCAAGCGTGGCATTCCAAACAACACGAAGTCGACTAAAAGTCGACTATAAGTTGACCGAATGTCGACTAATAGTTAACTAATATTTGAATGTCTCAAAAAAAGTCAACAATCGACATTCTAATGACTTACTCTACGTCAACTGGGAACAGTCGACTTTAAATTAACAGGCGACTATAAGCCGACAAACAGTCGCTCGTATTGTTTGGAATGGCAGACAGCGCATT